ATGCGCAGTTTTCATTGTCTCTAGGCATGTCGGTTTCAGAACTTGAAGCACATCCGACCCGCTCACAGCTGGTCAACAACCTTCAAAAATGACCCGCCTGTGGTTTGGTCTCTTCTGCGCTTGTCTTTGCCAGGTCATGGCTTGGAGCTGATCCCAAGTCTCCAAGGTTCGTGTGCCAAAGGGGCAACCCCCTCCAGGCCTCGACAAAAACTCTTATCCAACGAGGTGCCTTTGAGAACTTGTGCCCTGCGTTTCCCCAGAAGCACCTTCCATGGCTTAGACTGCCGCTTCAGCGCGCAGGGCGGTGAGCTCTCGGTGTGGCCGGAGGACAACAAGAGCTCACACCTGAATCAGCTTCCGGCCAAGGAGATCCCCGGCACTGCGTTTGGCCAGGGTTTTGTGGGGGAGCGCCCCGAAGGGCATCCTAACATTGAGAAATGAGTCCAGGGGAGCCCTGAGGGTTGCATTGGCGAGTGCCTGCCTTTTATGCATCCCGACTTCAACCCGCTGGCTGGAAGGCCAACTTTGTCCTTGCACAGGGGCATCGCTCCAGTTTCGCTGCCTCAATAATTTTGGCAGTCCGCGGAATCACTGCATGGTGGCAGCCCGCGTCAGTGGTGCTTCTTGCAAGAAAAACACCCCACATGGGGCAAGACGTGGGTTCTCTCGCCGAAACCGGGTCGTGAAATGTGGGGGCTTTCCGTTGGCCTCCGGCCTCAGGAAAGTCACGGTGGACATCTCCGAGAACCTGGTGATGTTCAACGGAGCGGCGCTTTTTTAGATCGATTCTTCTGGGTAACTAGGCTTCGGTCAAGGGTAACTGAATAGGATTCGTGCCATGATCCTTGGTCCTCTTTCCGAAAGTCGTGTGAACATGGGCCGCCTGGCCACCTTCCATGTATGGCCATGGGTCAGAATCCCGTACCCCCAGTGAACATCCTAATCCCCACTAAAGTAGGTTCTAAAATGGGTAGTGAATTCGCCTACCAGCCAAAATTGGATCCCATTGGTTTTGACAACCACAGCCGCATGGCAATGGGTAGGCCTTGACAGGTCTTCCAAATCAGAGGTGGCCGTTTTAGGTTAGTTTGGTTTGACATAGATGGCACTGGTTTAGATTGGTTTGATTCCATTTTCCAGAGCCATCGATTTGTGCAACAGGTAACCTATGTTCCGACACCTGGCACCGCCCTTTTGATTCGCACCGCCAGGAAACACGGCGCACGAAGTCCAGGACTTCGAGGGCGAGAGGTTCTCCATCGTCTTCTTCTGCTGCGGCTGCCACGCCAAGGCGCGTTTCCAACGGTTTGGCGGTGGGGGGCAAGTGATTCAGCTTCCATTTGCTGGGATGAATCTTTGGAATTACCCCTGGTTGTTTTTTGAAGGGAATCTATCACTACTGAAGTAGTGTTTTCTTATTTTTCCCCAGTGGACTTGAGCAAACTGAAGATTTCCATTAAAAGAATGGTTGACGTGGTTTTAACCCATTAGTTCGGCACCCAATGGTTGGGATGAAACTCCGGAAGGGTAAGCAATGGTACAACATGTTTGCGTCTTTTTTTAGGGGACCCCCCCCAAAATATGGTATTGTGTTGCATCGGTTCCCCTCAAAACCTACAAAAAGAGGTGCTCAGAAAAGGCACGCCCATATGACTCCCTGCAACAACAAGAGCCGGCATGCCGCTCCCGAACGCGGAGCAATGTATCATATGTGCCGCAGACGTAGGGGATCCCTCCAAATTGCTGGTTGCTTTTCGGTTCCCTCCAAGCAAGCATCGAACTGGTCCCTCCAAATCTTGACCAGTGCCAGTGACTCTTGGCGCCCATATATCACCAGGCCTAGAAACAGAAGCCACCATCCAGGGCGCTGTGAGCCCAAACTGGCCGCGGGGTTCTGAGGTGGAACGGGGTGTGATCGGCTCGGCAGCTGTTGCATGTCCATTCGCTCTGTTAGCCTACGGATCGAAATCTTGGGAATACCGCACAGGATCTGACGGCCGCCCGGGTATTCCCACACAAATCGGCGCCCTCCGGGTTGGATGCTCCCCAAAGGCTTGAGTAAGCTAAGGAAAGCCGTACTGGGCATCTTTTTTGCACCCCTCTTGGTATGAAATGGTATGGGTTGCCCATTTCTCACGGTTTGACGTCTTACGCCCACCATTTTTCCAGTTGGATGTTCGAGCTAAAGGTGAGGCTCCCAAGGGACGGCCGCCTGACCTCCGGCCTGACCGCGCCAGACGCCGGCGGAGGTGAAGAAGGAGCTGACGGAGCTGGGTTTCCCGGCGCCCCGGACGAACGATTGGAATGCGGCGGGCGATTTTTGGGTTTCCCCCATATGGCTGTGGCTCAAAAAAAACGGTACCAAAATGGGTTGCCCTGGTAAGTGGAAGCATGGACCAACACCTACGTAACCCTGGCTGTTTAATTTTGAGACACCCCCATATGGCTGTGGTGGTCAAAACCGTTGTGGTTGATCCCATTTTGGTTGGTTGAATTCACCACCCATTTTAGAACCTACTTGAGTGGGGATTGGGATGTTCACTGGGGGTACGATTTGGATTTTGACCCATGGCCATATGGCTGTGGCTCAAAATAGTGGTACCACAATGGCACCTTAGTAAAATGGAACCAACGATTTTAAAACCTGCGTAACCCTAGCTCTTGATTTTTGAGTTGCACCCATATGGTTGCAACCCCCAGCTTCATGGAGGTGGGTTGCAACTGATGTGGGTTTCAACAGATTTAACGTCCATCTGTTGGAATGAGCATCATTATTTATTTCCCCCTGTTGGTTTTCAAGGGAACCGATCCCACTACTGGACATACTTTGATTTTTCCAGGGGGCTGAAGCAAATGGGAGGATTTGTCTCTCTTTTGGTGATGGTTCCCACTAAGAATGTCAAGCAGATGAAGCACTGGAAGGATGCTTCTGCGTCTCAAAGCCAGGGCTGGAAGGCAAGGAGTTTGGGCTGCAAGATGCTAGCGCTCCAACTGGCACTGCACTAGCAAACTTCAGCCCTTTGGCCCAGCAAGCGGGCGAGCGAGCAGAGAACAACACATGGGGGTTTTTCATGGCAGTCCTTCCCGCCTTCCCGGTTGCGAGAAAGTGTGGCCTTTCTTCGTGGCTTCCCAAGGCCGATTGGAGGAGAATCGTACCTTCTGCTTGGGAAGGGTCACCAGCGCATTTTGAAAGTAGAGCACCCCGCCCCCCTTTCCACCCTTCGAGGTTTTGCTCGATGAGTGTGGCTAAGAGGGCCCCGATTGCGGCTCGGTCCGATCGCTCAGGTGCCCCCGGCGGACGAGGAGAGGTACCGCATGCTGCGCCAGCCCCGGGGCTACGGCGCCAAGAGCACTGCCGCGAAGAGCGGGAAGCTGGCGCTCAGGATGTTTCCGCTCAAGCGCCCGGGATGAAGACGATGGGACAAAAAGCAGGGGGAGAGTTTTGCGAGGAATTCTGAGGTTTGTTTTTTCTTGGGTGCTCTTGGGTAACGGACCTGTAGACTTCAATAACTTTTTCAGGATATCAAGGCTTTCCAGCCGTCAAACCCACACAAGTTAAGCTTTTGCAGAGGGGTCAACAGCAACCAAGCTGTTCACTTCTTTTCTTTTTTTTTGGGGGGGCCTTTCAGGGGGTCTAAGGCTGGCCAAGGTGGGGTATGCGCAAAAATTGAGGGAACCCCTCATAATGTAGGCTTGAATTTTTCACTTCCCACAGAATCTCCAATAGAGTACCCACCTCACAACTCACTTGGCCTCCCTTGAAGCCGAAACCTTTGAGTCAGAATCCAAAGGAGGTAGAGGCCCTACTTCAAGGGGCAGTGTACTTAGTAAGTGGTTCGTAAGCCTGGTCATATTCCATTTAGGAGACCTATAACCATTAAATTTCGTGGGTTATAGCCAGGAGTAACACTGACCACCTGCTAAGTACCATGGCCCTTGAAGTAAGAGGCAACACGATCAACAGGCTATCTTGAACGCAGGCCTCAAGCCCCGCCTTTTGGATGCCATTATGGAGTTTCTCAAAGTTGGGTGATGTCTAAAGGGGAAAGATGGGGAAACCTGCCTGGGTTGCTCAAAGTCAATCCTCAATCCTCATGCCAGATAATGATGAGCGATTTCCCTTGCTGTAGTGGTGTCTTTAGGGATCTCACGTGTTGTGCCCTGGGTAGCCAATAAATTGGCCCTGAGGGGTGTACTTAGATCGACATGCGCAGATGCCCAGGAAGCCGACCAAGTCTCTCGCTCCTACGGTTGGGACGTCCGTGCCGAAGCGCAAGGCCAAGTAGACTCGAGCTCTGAGCAGACTCTGAGCGGAAAACGGCGCATGAGGGACGGCCCCTCAGCAAACCTCTCTGAGGGACTGGGTGCTTAGGTTAGCAAAAAGCAGGGGGATCGCAAAGATGCGGAGCCCGGGTAAGAGGTTTGCGGCTGTGGCTGCTGGCTGGGTACGGAATGCGGAAGCGCATTCTGCTAGGGGTAATTCACCTTTAAGCTGGGCAGCATGGCGCTTCGGGAAGGCATGCCGCGTCTGGCGGTCTCTGCTCGGGGCATGCGTTGCTCGGGTGGGTTTAGGGCCTGAGGCGGAGACTGGGCAAGAACGCTTGCACAGAACGGTTTCTCCAGGGAAAAAAATGTCAGGCCTCTCCTTCATCTTTGTGCTGTCCAGTCTCATAGGCCAGACGGCCCGGCGCTTTCAGTTCGTAGACGTTGCAGTGGCTGCGGCTAGGGGAGGCTTGGCTCCTGATCACGGCGGGGCAGCCGTGCTGGAGATCATGCCTTGGAAGCCGCAATCGGGTGAAAAGGCCAACTGGGACTGGGTCCCTTAAAGCTCTCAAAATTACTTGTGGTTGGAGGAGGGCTCGCTGTAAAGTCAACGGCCAACGACTATAGAAGCCAGCTACAGCAATTTCTATAGGAGCAAACCGCCAAGACAAGCATTTCCTGTAGAATTGTCTGTAGCTAGTTGCTTGGAATGACGCATCCAAAGTTTGTCTTGCCAGGTGGCAGGCGGCTTGGCAGTACCACGCCAACCTGCCCTTCGCCTATGCCAACGCTGCCGCCAACGCTGCCGTCAACGCCGCGAACGCCCTGCCCGGACACTCGGGAGGGTTGAAATCCAAGGGCCCTTGATTAGGCAGTGTCCATCCTCGCTTGGGCACTGCTGAAACTGAAACCACCAGATAATCGCAGAGAGAGAGAGGGTGCCAAATGAGGTCGACACAGCCTGGCCATTCCCAGTGGAGCGCCGGAGCCTAAGTCTTTGAGCACCCTTGGGACAATTAGTCATTCCGACGACTAGATGACTTAGCCTCCCACCAATCAATATGGAACCTGACGTTTGGGGGGTCCTGGAAGACCATTTTCCTTTTAAAGGGACCTAGCCCCTGTCAGGTTCCGCGTGAATTGGTGGGAGTTAAAAGCCATTTTGCTTCGCATTTTTTTTCTCCCAAGAGCTGAAAACTATGGGGTCCAGCTATGGGATACCACCTGGGCTTATGTTTTCTTTTCGGCTCCGCCATGCTTCGGATCCATTTTCTGGATTCCTGACAAGCGGATTTTGTGTCTTGGACGGGTCGATTGACCGGGGAAAAAAGGAAGAAAAACACCTCGCAGGCAATCCCACCGCCGGTGCCGTCGCTCCAGGGCGGCATGCCGCTGCTTGGCGATGTGTAGAACGGAGCTTTTGGCCTGTGGATCTGTCCATTTTTTTCTCCCCGCCCACTGTACATGGGAATGGCTCAGAACTCATTGGAGGTTCCCAACCCTTTTGGTTGGAAAGAGAAACCAAAAGCAAGACCGAAATTCATTTTGGGGGGTCCAACCCAAAAACCTCTGGCTTCAAGCATGCCAATTCAAGTTGAGCGAAGGTGCGGTCCACTGCAGACATTGCCATTCCATCAGCATCTGGAAGAGCCCTTTCACTGTGTAATCTTGGCACTCCGTTTTCAGATCCAGACGAAAAGTGACTAACTTTTAGTGGGTTAAATACGGAAACCCAACCACTAAACCGACTGAACACCTAAGAACCTAAGGGGACGGCTGGAAACCGCCAAGTAATGTTTGAACCTCCATTTATCCATTTCTTTTGGGGAGGGAGTTCTCTTCTGTGCTCTAGAAAATGACGAGAATGAATCGAACCTGAGGGATGGGAGTCAGGCTCGATATGGCTCAAAATCAATGGGATCCCATTTTGGTAGGTGAACTCTTTTTTTTGTTTAAGAACCTATTTTAGTGGGGATTGAATCGGATGTTCACTGGGGGTACGGGCTTTTGACCCATGGCCATATGGCGTTTGTTTAGTTGCAGTGGCCTGGAGGGAAGTCAAAACTCACCTTACGTCAGATGAAGGGCTCTTTATCGGCTTGGTTTGATAATTTCAGGATGGTCAATGAAGATGTTACTGGGCAGATGTTTTTCTTGATAGACGTCCGGCAGTTGGCAGAATGTTTCGCAGAAAGGGCAGCTTGTGCTGGGATCATTGAGGGCTTGCTGTAAGAGCCAGCGACCTTGGTGGAACCGGCGTTCGATGGATGCTTTGAAGCTTGCCAGAAACTGACCTTTGGGCCCTTTTGCCACTTGGGTTTCAGATTTTTGGCGATTTTCCGATGTTGACTAGCAACTAGTCAAGTTTTTTCGTTATAGGGCTTAAGAAACCTCAACCGCCCCCTCCACAGGTCAGACTTGAGGGTGCATTTCACCAGTGAGAATGCTCATCATCTGGAAGGCTCCTTCGGAAAAGGCCACGAAGGGTTCCACAGGGCCCATCTTTAGAGAGCTTCATGTCGAAACAAATCTTACCCATAAAAACTCGTGCCTTGCGCAGAGAGAGAGAGAGAGAGACCTGTGCCATTTGAGGGCACCCCCCATAGATCTGGAGGTCTCGTGTCTGGGAGGGTGGGGGGTCTTTGCCCGGGCCGGTCCTGCTAGCCTCAGGATGCCTGCGGCGACGTTCTGGACGGGGATGCCGAGTTGGCCGAGGGGGCGGGGGGTTTGAACTGGGGGGTTTGATCCCATGCATTCGGCATGGGTATGGGCCATGGGGAATGCAAAGCATGTTGTTTTTCTAAGATGGATCGGTCATCTGTCCGCTAAAAAATGCGACCCGGATTTGGCGCGGAATCGAGAGCCCTCCTGCACGCAATTGCCACATTTGGTTCTGCTACACGTAGGTAGGTGGCTGGCGTGGCGTATTGCTAGCCAAGGGCAAGTCACATGCTTGGAGATCTGCGCATTCAGGAACACGGCCAGCCCATTCTCGATGCAGCAGGACTGCGGTGTCCATGTTTTTGAGGTGCAGTTGTGTGAGGCTCGCCTTCTCGGGAGGGATAGGGCCCTGCCGAGGCTCTGAGCTGAGAAGTTTCTAACAACCTTTGCATTGGGCATGCAGCTTTGCATTTGGGGAGGGTGCACATAGAGAAATAGAGAGAGATGTGCTGGATCTTGCCAGGTCCGATTTTTCTGCCTTTCCGTGGAAAGCTGCTTTTTCAGGGCAGGTATTCATATTTTGCATTGGGGTGTTTTTTTTTCTCCGAATCTTGTCTTTTTTTGGGTGTACGCAACAAACTGGCGGCGAGACAACAAACTGGCGGCGTATTTCCCCGATACAACAGTGTTTTTCCTCGATACAAAGGCGTTGTTTGCCAACCCCTGTTCTATATGGCACGTGTCCCAAGGGCGTGTTTTGAAGGGAAATGCAGTTTTGGATGAACACGACTGACATTTCTATACCCACGTGTCCGAAAGGTCCTCCCTCTGGCATTGATACAGGATTTATCATTTTGATTTGCATGCAGCGGAGGGTATGAAGAAGACACGTGTGCAAGCACGCGCTTGGAGACAGTCACAACGCACCCGATGTTCATGTTCCTTCCTGCCCCTGATAATTGATTCATGGCAGTCGAACGGATGACCTTCACTGATTGGCGCACTGTGACGGCAGTACGGATGCAAGCACGACATGCAAAAAGGGCCATAACTTCCTGACACCTATGCGGCTCTTGCAACTGCGCACCTTGCCGTTTCGCCTGCGCTTCAGGACATCAGAGCCAAGTTTCAGCCGGGATGCCTGCGTGCGAGATTGGATGCAAATGGTGACCGACAATGCAGGCAATCGACTATGGGCGATTCTGTTTGAAGCAGGGTCTACCCCTCAATGATGTCCAAAATGAGTATTTGCCTGTAGCTGCGAAGCATAAATAGCATGTGCATTGGGCTCCAGCCGGGACAAATCCTGGTTTTTCTTCTCATCCGCTGGGTTAAGCTGTGCAAAGAGAGCACGGCCACCTCCCAATGGCTAAGATGAAAGGCACATTTGCATGACTCTATGGAAGGTGTTGCTGTCTGTCAGATTGAGTCACCCACTAGGTTTAGGAGTGGCCATGACTGGGCACATGCTTAAGGCCAGAGCAATTCGGGGGTAGTCAGCTGGAAACATACAAGGTGACAGTGCAGGAAGGGCCCAAATTGAGCCTTTCTCCCGCAGGGTTCCCCTCTATTTTTTTTTCCCCTTGGGGCCTTTTGGCCAATTTTGAAGGCGAGTTTCCTTTGGGGTTATGTCTGAAGGGTACAGGGAACTCCTCATGGTTGCCAGGGGGCGGCGGCTACCACTCGTTTTGCCGCGCGCTGCCAAGGATCTGAGCCTGGGGAAACGCTGGAATTGGCCCGCCAGATGAAAGGTGGGCGCGGTCACAGGAAGCAGGGGGCGCGATGTTTTTTTTGGAAGTGAGTTACGCTTTTGTTTCTCTTCCCGGCATTCTTAGCCAGGTTCAAATCAAGGAGCTTTGGCATTGGCAGACATGCGCCGCATTTGGGCGTGCTGCGCGCCCGCTTAAAAAAGGAATGCTTGGGGTCGGTTTCGTTTCAGGTGCTGGACGGTGTTCCGTGCAGGGAAGCTGCCTCGGCCGAGAAGCGTTTTCAGCACACGGAACTGCCCCTGCACCTAAAATGGTTGGTTTCCTTGTGGCTTCCCCTTGAATGCCAACTCAGCTTCCACAAGTTTGAGAAGCTTTCAAATAAACCCTCGTGTACCGAAGGAAAAATAGGAAACCATTCGCCAAATTTCTACGCAACTGGGTTTAAGGAGATGAGGGCTAACATGGAACCCACAGGGGCTCCTCCCAAAGAAGATTCTTTGTTTAAGTGTGTTCTTTATGAAGCAGCAGGGGAGTAAAAGCTCATGCAATCCTTGGTGGTTTGAACTCGTGGTTTCAGATTTTGAAGCAGTTTTGGGGATTAATGGGGGTCGCCACCCACTTCCACACCACCCATCCGAACCAGATTCGAGACATGTTTGGCGTGCACCCACACGGAAAACCGTCTGGCTCCGCCCACCAGCGGGGGACTTATGAGCGCCCACACCTGCTGGGCCTAAGGCTGCCTTTCGCCGGGAGCGTGGTCTGCTGTAAGCTCACGTAACTTTTCTTGTGGCTTACTTTCAACCAAAGGGGTCAATTTTGAGAACCCCCCCACTTGAAACCTCCATCAGGTGCCCCGAAGAGGTCGATTTTAAGAACCCCCCCCCACTTGAAGCATCAACCGCTTGCTGGCGCCACGTCTCCCTGGGTTGGAGCCTATTGCATGCTGGCGGGGCGAATGGGCGAGCGCGGCGCCCAGAAATCTGGGCTTGGCAAGGCGGCGGGTTGGTTTACTAACTCCCTGAGTCCGGGAGTTGTACTTTTCGGGTTTGGACCATTTTGCCAGCTGGTAGTTGGAACGAGGCCAAGGAGCTGGACGTTATCCAAGTCTGCCTTAGAGATTAAAAAGCTTTTGGTAGCCGATCGGACATCTGAAAGGACATCTTAGTTGAGTAAACCAACAGTTTAGACTTGAGTCCTGAATAAACTCCTGGTTGCTGAATGGGGGTTTGCGGACCATGGGCTCAGAGTCCGTAAAGGTTCCTTGTGGCGGTGCTATGATATTGTCATGTTCATGGTCTTTTGTTTGCTGGCCCATGCCCCAAGAAAGAACCGCAAACAAATGGCGGGAAGTGCATCAGTCATCGACAATTGCGGGCAAGATCTGACACTGCGCTGAACGTTGTTTGGAGCCCTGCCGCCAGTTGCCTCGCCGAGCCGTCGCAGTTGGAAGATAGGAATGTCGCGGAGGCAAAGTTTGCCGTTCAAGTTGCATCACCCAAGCTCTCACTTCCTCAGTTTCAGAACGGTTGGACGGGTACGGTCGCAGTTTCATTGCTTGTTGTGGAACCAGACGCTCTCCACAGGACTGTCTAAACTGTGATTCCCCGAACATTGTTTTTCGGTTTCCCGTCAGCAAACTGAGGATTCCTTAAACCCCTTGCTCGAAAGGCAGAATAAATCAAAGGGTCGCGCTTGAACCTTCCGAAGTGGAAGAGCCACTGGCTTTGCTGTTTTCATGCACGTACTTCCCGCTGGCTAGCTGCCAGAGCTCGCTTTTTTCGGGGGATATCTCACATCAGGTCAGGTTTTTTCCCTTCTTCTGCCGCACTTGCGGCAGGAAAGCCGCGGGCATTCCTCTCTTCATGCCCTTTAATGTGTCGCCCGGCGCGGAGGATCCGGGGGCGAGACGGCCTTGTAAGTTGCCCTTGCCTGCCGGAGATCCATCGGCAAAGAAGCAAAGGTGAGCCCAACGATGCCAGAGGGCAAGAAATGGACGGACGCCGAGGTTTGCTGGATGCATCTCTCAGGTAGACGTATTGCAAACCGTGATCCATTCGATAGTGATTCGGAGCCACGGCCACGATCGGCCACGGGAGCTCACCCTTCATCCCCAATCGCTGGTAGCCCACCATTAGGCTGCAATGGCTTCCCGAATGGCCAGCAGTGTCGGAAGTGTTCTTGTTGTGGTTTTCAATTGTCAGTTTTCATTTTTTTTCTTTTGCTTCGACACGTAAGGGCCAGTACGCCTAGTACGGGGTTGGTAAGCAGGGTCATCCCAGATTTCAGGAGATAGTTTTTGCCAGCAGCCCTTCCAGATTTATTTGTTTTTTGCATGCATGGTGCCAAGCCCCCCTCAGATGTGTTCTAAAGTGGGGAGCTTACATGGAGACAGACACCTAGCCCACAGAATCCGGCGCGGCCTTGTTGGCCTTTGCGCCCACAACCAGGGCGGCATAAGCATTATATAACTTGAGACAGCTTGTGTGGGGCATCCAGTGGGTGGATCTCCGGCATGCTGCGGATATTAGGCTTGCAACGCTTAGCCTCTGTGGCTTCCATTTGCTCCTCGTGAGGTGTCTGTGTTTTTTGCTTCCCGATGGGATACGGAGAAGCGGTCTGTGCTGCTGGCCTCAGGGCCTCCATGGGGGTCGCTTTTTGGAGGAGCACGCGGAAGGTAATGCTGTTGATGGAGAGCTGCTCATGTTCAGGGCGCCAAAGCCAGCAAAACAGCCAACGACTGCGTTGCAGCACTCCATCGATCGTATGGCTGTCCGTAGCCTCTGTTTCGACTGCATGTAGCACGTAGGACTGGCCGGCGGCTTAGGGGGCTGGGTTTCACCGGGGGGTGTTGTGCTGAGTGGTCCCTATATTTCGGCTTCTGGGGCACGAGCACGTCGCATTGCTATTTGTTGGTTGCCCCATCGCTTTGGCCCAGTTGAAGGTATCCTCCTCTCATTTCAATCTGTCAGACTACTCTTCCAAGACCCTTGGTATTGGCTTGGGACATGGTTGCTGGGTATGGGCGTGCTTCTAGACGCCAAGGGACTGCTCAGAATGGAGTTAAACCCTTTTCGGATATGTCGCACAAACCCCGAAGGGAAGTCAGCAACTTGGAGGCCTCGATCAACTTGCCGCGAACAGGTCTCAAGGCAAGATTTGTGTGTGTGTGTGTGTGTGTGTGGGTGGGTGTGGGTGTGGGTGTGGGTGTGGGTTGCGTGTGCGCGTGCGCGTGCGTGTGCGTGTGCGTGTGCGCGTGCTTGTGCGTGTGCGTGTGCGTGTGCGTGCTTGATTGTGTGGGTTCGAATTGTTGTTTCCTTGCTGGTGGTGCAGAAGGGGGTTCCCATCTACCCTCTACAAACATCAAAGCTTCAAATCCCCAAATCAAACCAAACCACCAACTAAGGGTTACCTGAAATCTGAGCGTCCCGAGATTCGCTCTGAGGCCTGAAGGAACGATTCCCCAAGCTGTACATAGCGCACAGGATGCTTTACGCGCTCCGGCTGGCTGCCAGGACCATGAGGATGAGCTGAGAAATCCCCGGCCGGGAAAAAACCCATCTGAGCCGCTTCATCCCGGTCCTCTTTAAAGTCAGTTGGCAACTTGGAATGCTGAACCTCATGGTTCTGGCAATACGTGAGCGCAGAGGCAAAACATGGCTTTTGGTGTGGGTAAATTTGCGCTTATGGCGCTACTACCCCAACGACCACCAGAGATAGACAAGCCCTGAGTGTTTCCTCTCGCAGTTTGCATCGCCTCGGCCCGGCCCTTGATAGTCACATTCGGCACACTTGCCAGTTGAGGTATTTGAAGTGGCTTGGCCCTCCGAAACCTTCTGATTGTGCGTGCGGCTGATTGCAATGCATGTTTGCATTTTTCTTTTCTGGCTGGCCGAGGTTTGTACAACCGTTTTGCCCACTTTTTGCGAGCAGTATTGCTGCTTGATTCAGAGGAAGCCATAGTAGCCCAACAGTGACTACCATTACAGGCATTTAGGGCACTTCCGACGGCTTCCCTTGCTGTGGCGCTGAACCAGTATGGGAATGGCATTTAGGGCCTCATGACGCCGCATGCCATTTGCAAGTGTCCTGATTCTTTGAGTTCTAGCGGTCAAGGACGATGTCAACAGATGGGTGCTAATCGGATGTGTCTTTTTGTTTGGAGTTGGTACCCCTTTTTTGTGGTTTTAGTATTTTGTAAAGGGACACCAACAGCAACCCCACCATTTTAGGGGTCCCCTAAAAGAAGATACCCAATCAGCTGTAATTTTAACAGAAGAGGCTAAGGGATAAGGTGGTCTTTGTTTTGTTCTGACATCCGGATTTGTCATGCAACTCTGTCAGCACTGCTGCAGTTTCAATTTAACCTTTCCACGTGTGCATTTCCAAGTGCCTATCCTCAAACATGAGGATGAGTCTTGTGGCCGGGTTCGCTGCGATGCTGCGATACAGTTGCCAGGGACACTGGCGGATGAATTGTCCGGTGCAGCACCGCCCGTGACACGAGTATGGAAGCGTGCACGCATGACAAGATATTTCTTCCCAGCAAGAACCAAGCGGGATGGAGGCTGGTGCTTTTTGACAAGCTGGATCTTGATCTATCATGGGGGTCAATGGAGTTGGCAGTGTTATGGTGGTTTGGCAAGGGCTATCACACGGCTCTTCTGCCATTAAGTGTGCGTTATGGTTTTGCTGGGCACCATTTCGTGACCTGCCAGACGAGCATTCTGCAAGGGTTTACTTGATGCTAACATCAAGCCCACATGTGAGCAAGTGCCACGCTTATCAGTTGTTTATCCTTGTTGCGATGCTTGGGTGCACGAGCCAAGATAAACAAAGGCGAACTCTTCACACTCAGCAGGCCTGCGCAACCAAAAAACGGAGGTGGCTGCACCGTGCAGCCGCGGCTGAGAAAAACAATTCCGGCGCATCCCTGACGAACTACACAGATTGGCCCTTGCAGGGTATTGACAGCCTTACTGGATATAGCCAAACTCCAATGGA